AAAAGATTTACAATCAATCAGATCTTCATTAATTTCTGCTCATTAAACATTTTGATCTTTACACAAGTGCACTTTAACTCTTTCAAGATGAATCTTCAATGCTGTAATATACAGAAATAACCAGTTATAGTGCTGCCAATCTATCTGGGGTAAATCCCAGAAGGGTTAATTCTATAACCTCAAGTGGACGATGGGAGCGTCCAGTGAAAGTGGACCCTCCCAGTGTCCGGTCAGCCCGCAGAATGCATGAAGTATTGCTGCTAATGCAATCTCTTATGAATCAAAATAGATTTATTATGACTCAGAAGTGTGAGATATATCATGTATAAACTGCTTCCTCTGTTATTTCGACACAGTTTTAGCCCATTTTTTCAAATATTTTGCGTGTATCCCTTGTTACATGTTTCACATGATCTGGAAAATATTCTGTCGAGACGTGGCAAATAATTCCAGGTTGAAAGAGTTGTTATGTTTGTCAATCTTTAGTTGATTTGATAGTGACAAAATCTTGACCAGCGTCCACTCACCCGCTTTCCGAGAGGTCCGGAGAGTCCAGGCATTCCCATGGGGCCCATAGGTCCCTGGAAAGGTCAGAAAAAGGAACATTATAATCAAGAGTTCAGCGGGGGTTGGGGGGGGGGTTCCTATTTTTGTAGGTGCAAGATGCTAGTTAGGAATATGACATGTGTTTACATGTGTGCGTTATGCATGATCATATATGCACACTTGTACATCTTATGTAGCGTTAACTGATGATGGTGGTGAAAGGGTGGTGATAATGAGAGGATGATGGTAAAGATTATGATGATGATGACAATAGGGAGAGATGAAGAATGTTAAATCATAATGACATAGATGATGATAATGATGATTCTGATGAAAATAGTGAAGATACTGAATAAAACTGTTTTGATCAGTGTCTTTATAATGAAAACATTTACGACACAAAATGCGAAGAATCATAACATCTCAATTTTGATAAGACACGATTAACAAAAACTGAAAAAAAAAAAAAATAATACATAAAACAAACCCAAACAGCCAATGAAGCAATGACAGAACACAAGTATATATACGGTAACAAAAAAGACAAAAGTAACAGCAACAGCAGCAACAGTAGCAAAACAGCTACCATAATTAGGACGACGACAACAGCACCAGCATCATCATTAAAAAATCCACAACAGCAACAATGATATCAGCAGCAAGAACAAAAACAACAATAACAGCATCCACAGGTACAGAAACAATGACAATGACGACGACAACAACATCAACAACAAGAACAACCAAGAGCAACTGCAATAAAAACAATCAACAGCAACAACAAAGACAACAACAATAGCAACAGCAGCATCAATTACAACAATGATGACAACATTTAACAGCATCAACAACAACAACAGGAGCAACAACAACAACAAAAACAACAACAACAAAAACAACAACAACAACAACAACAACAGCATCAATAACAACAACAACAACAGCAGCAACAACAACAACAACAATAACAACAACAGCATCAACAACAACAACAAGAGCAACAACAACAACAACAACTCACCATTTCTCCGTTGTTTCCAATATCTCCCTTCTCTCCAAGAGGTCCAGGGGGTCCCTGACAAAAAGAAAAAGAAAAAGAAAATAATGAGACCGGTGAAGCATAGGAGCAAAGCAAAAAAGTTCAACATTATAGATAAAAAGAAGAAAAGAAAATAAAAGAAAATAATGAGCTTAATGAAGCATAGGAGCCAAGAAGTACAATATTATAGATAAAAGAAGGGGAAAAAGAGAAAAGAAAATAATGAGACCGGTGAAGCATCGGAGCAAATCCAAAAAGTTCAACATTATAGATAAAAAGAAGAAAAAAAAAAGAAAAAACACAGGGTTCTGAGACAGGAAACGTGGCCAACCTCACTGACACTACTAGAGAAGCTATAGGCCTACGGGCCAACAGATGAACTGAGCAGGACGGCCCAATTTATGACAGATACCAGACTTCAAGTGTGATGCGATTGAGAAGAAGAAGAAGAGAAGGAGAAACGTAATTCATTTCCAAGTAATGTTTCCATTTGTTTATTTGAACAACCTAACATATAATTACCACACTGACACCTGTTTTCACAGGTAAAATTAGCAAGAAACAAGCCGCCAATGTTTGGGGATTTCCATAGCTGAAGAATACTTGGAAACTGCAAATTTACATTTTCTATGCCTTTAATCAACATTTTTCCATAAAATTCAAACAAATGTGTTTTAAATGCACAAAAAAAGGTGTAGAGCCAAAATTTTAAAATTTTATAAAAATTCTCAAACCATTGGAAAAATGTCTGTCTCTTCAATTTCATAATTTTGACAAGCGCCTGATTTTACCACGATGCCTCAGAAATGTGACTTCTAAATGGACATGACAGGTGTTGAGCAAAGAAACGCTAATTCAATAAAAATTGAAAAATGGTTTAAAAAATACAGATTTTTTCTATTTCATTATTTTGATGAGCGCCTGATCTGACCATGATGCCTCACAAATGTGTTTTTAAATGGACATAACAGATGTTGAACCAAAACTTTAAAATTCGATAAAAATTGCAAAACTGTCCTAAAAATGCCGATTTCTTCAATTCCATCTTTTTGACAAGCGCCTGATTTCAGCACAATGCTTTGCAAAAGTGTTTTTAAATAATAAAAATAATAATAACAATAATAATAATAAATAGCATTTATTGTACAGCTCATATCCCTACGTGTTTTTTAATGGACATAACAGGTGTTAAACCAAACCTTTCAAATTCGATAAAAACTGCAAAACCTTCCGAAACATGCCGATTTCTTCGATTTCATTATTTTGACGAGCACCTGATTCCACTATATTGTGAATACTGTGACCCATATGACATAAATATGTATTTTTCCCCAACAATCTAGCGTCCACGTACCACGCGTCCGGAGAGTCCAGTCATACCCTGGGGTCCGGGGGATCCTCTCATGGCCAACATGTGAGAGTCCAGCATGGAGCGGAACTGGTCGGCGTAGTTGTTCTGTTTGTTGTCCCAGTTCATCTGTGAAAGGAGAAGGAGAATTTTATTTTTAGTAACAGTTTTACGGCACTTTCAACAAAATAAGTTCATAGAAGTGTGGAGAGAGAAGGAGGGTTTTATTTTTAGTAACAGTTTCACGGCACTTGCAACACAATAAGGTCATAGAAGTGTGGAAGGAGAAGGAGAGCTTTAGTTTTAGTAAGTTTTACAGCATTTGCAACACAATAAGGTCATAGAAGTGTGGAAGGAGAAGGAGGGGACGTCGCACGTCAGTCACAACGAATGACAAACTTGGAATCAAACTGTCCAAATTGTTGGGGGAAGAAGGGGTAGGGGGGGGGAGGGGGGAGAAGGATTGTCGAAAGGGAAATAATTGCTATTGCCATTCCCATTCACCTGCCCACTATAGACATTTTTTTTTAAATTACAAAAAAAAATACTTGTTTTGAATTCTAGTGCTGTAGGAAACAAAACTTCATCGATACTTGGAAGCGTGAAGTCATTTTTTGTGCTATTTGAATACCACGTGCGTGCGTATTGCTATTTTGCCACCGTTTGATGGAAATGTGTGTTTGACAGTTACGGAAAAAGCTGCTGAACTATCATTCATGGACTTGTTTAACTGATGCAGTTTGGAATATTTCTCAACCTTTTTCATCAGCACTGACACAGAAACTCAATATAATATACTTCTATTCATTCAATCAATCATTTTATAAATAAAATCTTCCTTTCACATTTATTAAGTTTGTGCTTGTATGTTTTTGCTGATATTTTTGAGTTAGATATCCCAGTGTTTTGGCTGGATATCCTTTCAAAAAATGTGTTTAATGACAGCATAGGTCGAAAATCATCTCTTTCAATATTTACATTTAAAAAAATGTATTCCCAATGTCACCTAGAGACAGTAGACAACATAGTAAAAAACCCTCCCCACCAATGTTTCCAACATTTACATTTTTATTCTTTTCCATGTCTGCTCTACTCTGGCGCTGACCAGATGACAAGGACATGTGGTTACTTGAGGGAGGCATTGCGCTGCCAAGAGCGAAATGCTTGCAGCTAAAGGGATTTGAAAACAACAACAACAAACAACAACATTCTTTGCCATTCCTTTAATATCCAAAGCTCATTGAGGAATCGTTTCTCTAACACAAAACGATCACCCGACTCACGGCCTTGAAAACAAACGAGTTTTTGTTTTTGAAGGTCACTATCGACTTCGTTCAGTTTGTGCCACAATGGTCGTTTTTCACCGTCAATCATAGATGTGACGTAACTCTATGCCTTCAATCTGGCTGGCCCCGCCTACCTAACCAAATCAAACGGAACCGATCGTGCCAATGGGCTGTGGGTACTAGGAATAAAGAACAATTCAACAACGTTTTGTCATTTGAGGGGTTTTTGTTTTTGTTCTTTCGTCTTAAGTGAAATGAAAACATCCAATCATGGTGCCTGGCACCACAGAACGTTAGATGACGAGGATGGTAACCACTCACAGGGAACACAAAGACGTGGCCGGGGGGTCCTGGCACACCGTTAGCTCCGGGGATTCCCTCACGGCCCTCGAGACCCTGGGGGGAGAGAAAACAAAGGAGATGAAAGAAACGACAAAACGTCAGAAATATACATATTTGTCTGGGGAATAACGTTGTTGGGGTGATGATGATGATGATGATGATGATGATGATGATGATGATGATGATGATGATGAGGATGATGAGGATGAGGATGAGGATGATGATGCATAACGTACTTAGTGTCTGTCTCAGAGGGCGTAGAAGTTCCATCAGACACAATTCTTTTTTTCATAAAAAAACGTTCAATTAAAGATTCATGCATTGATCTTTTCTTTTCGAGCAAAAGATGAAGGTTAAGATAATGATGCTGATGATGAGGCTGGCATGGAGGATGGTGATAATAATGAATCAAACAGCCAGACAAGAAAACTTCACCGTAAAAGATTCTCAAAGAGTATAAAGTCAAATATAAATGTTAATCAAAGTTTATCTCCCTCCTCCCCTCCTCCCCTCCTCCCCTCCCTCTCTTCTCTTTTAATATTCCACACACATCTATCCCCCACGTACAGAGCACGGAATTTCCAAAAAAGTCAAAAGTAGACAATAGATAAATAGCATTTGTAAAGTACAAATTCCTGCTCAATAGTACGTTCTATATGCTTTACAATCTTTTTATTACCGCGGCAGACCTGATAGCATTCTGAACCAATCTCAACTTTCAGAGAAGCATACAGTAGAAGCTGCCATTTTATAGGCGATAAAACACTAACATACTGACAAGATCTTTCACAGTCTATGGCCGGGTACCCATTCGCACCTGGGTGAAGTGAGGAAAATTCATATCAAGTGCCTGCAGCTCGAACCCCTGAACCCCCGAACCCGCAACCTCACGATTACAAGTCCGATAGCCTAACCACTAATGAGGTCATGAACTGTCCCAGACGCCCTGACCAACTTACAGTTTCTCCCTTCAGACCTGGGGGTCCGGGGGGTCCTCTCTGTCCAGGAGGTCCTGGGGGTCCCTGCGTACACGAGGAAAACAAATTGAGATTAGTTCCAAAAATGATAAACAGATCATAGTTTAATAAAGAATACAAATTGAGATAAATTAGACTACTTGAATAAGTTGCAGCTGCATAAAAAAAATACATTGAGATTAACTAAAATAATGTTAAATATATAGAAAACTCATTGAGATTGTTCACAATAAAGTTAAACAAGTTGTGGTTCTATAAAGAAAACAAATGAGATTAGTTTCAATATTGGTAAACAGTTCATATTTCTATGAAGAAAATCGAATTGAAAATTTGCCACAATAATTTTAAACATGTGGAAAGAAAGCAAACTGAGATTTGTTACCATAATGTTAAATAACTTGTGGTTATATAAAGAAAACAAGTTAAAATTAGTTTTCATAAAGTTAAACAAGTTGTGGTTCTATGAAGAAAACAAATTGAGATTAATTAATATAATGATAAACATGTTGTGGTTTTTTAAAGAGCACAAATTGAGATTTGTCACAATAAAGTTAAACATATTGTGGTTATATAAAGAAAACACAGTGAGATTCAGAGATTAATGAAAATAATATTCAATGACATGTTGTATGTGCAATGTGAATTACTAGAAGATGCCTAATTATAATAATAATAGCTCATCGGTCAATGTCTGACAATGACCAATGAGAATATTTCTCCAGCAAAATAGAAGAATTTGAAGAACTTAAGGTTACGATGACTTGTGGCTTCTGTCCCCAGTGACAGAAAAGAAATGGAGGATGACAACGAAACAAGGATGACAACGAAACAAGGATGACAACGAAACAAGGATGACAACGAAACAAGGATGACAACGAAACAAGGATGACAACGAAAACAAGGATGACAACGAAACAAGGATGACAAGGAAACAAGGATGACAAGGATGACAACGAAACAAGGATGACTATGAAACAAGGATGACAACGAAATAAGGATGACAATAAAACAAGGATGACTACGAAACAAAACAAGTGTGTACTCACAAATCTGTAGGTGACATCGGTCATCTCAACTGATCCGTACTCCAGAGTGACACTAGACTGTGGACAGAAAAAACACCAACAAATAGAAAATAGGAAATCTTTGTCTTCAATATTGTGAGTTCTTATTGAGCCCTTTTCAATATAAACACGGTTATGTCAAGCTGAATCAACAATTGTAACTGAACATACACTAATATTTTTCCCGGATATAAAGCACTAATAAGAGCTTGAGACATGCCTAAATGACCTCGTTCCTACAAGAGATCTGCAAGGCTTGAACTTATTCCAGTCAAATTAGGGTAGAGAACACTTACACAAACGTTCAATAAAATTTCTAAAACTAATTTTCCTAAGAAAAATGAATGCTGTCATCTTTTACAAATTCAACAATTTGGATGTAGTATAAATGAAGTCAATAAATCATCCAGTTATTCAGTCACAGTACAATTCTGGCATCACTAAATATGCACTTATTATTTCAAACCATACACTTTCAAACACATAATTCAAACTTCCCATCTAGAGTAATTAAGCTGTATTCAAACAAAAAGAAGTTCACACAGCAATGGTCATTAACTCTTTATCTCCGGCCAGCCGCTCCCATTGGCTGGCAGCAGTAACTGCTGTGTCGGAGAGTCGCTGACCGCGGCTCATGCGCATTCCTTTACGACGACTTCCACATAAAATTAATTTTCGACAATTGCCAAAAACAAGTCTCTTTTACCGGGAAATCATTCATTACCTGAAGAGCTATCGAAATACATTTCACTTATTTTGATATAATGACCAGTGTAGTGACATAATATATCAAAATAAGATTTCCTACCAGAGCAGGGCCCCAGCATATTATTAACTCCACCCATGGAGATAAAGAATTAAATTGCAAAGCTTAAAAAAAAAAACCCGACAAATTTAGCTGTCGTTTAGCTGTCATTTACGTAAGCTGTACTTAAACCATAAAAGAGTTCCCACAGCTATAGGAATTAAATTGCAAAGTAAAAAAACAACAACAAACAAACAACAAAGTTAGCAGCTGTTTAGCTGTCATTTGAGGAACGTAACAATCAAAACGTACTCCGGAAGAGTTGCTGAATCCGACCTCTGAGGACCAAGAAGAGGAAGAGGAAGAGGAAGATGAGGAGGAGGAGGAGGAGGAGGAAGAGGATGAGGAGTGTGACATCATGTAGGGCAGAGGAATGTCACAGTCCGGGGCGTAGGTCTCGCAGTGCATGTAGGCTGCGCCGGGGTCAGGGATGAACAACAGGTCTTGGATATCTCCCTGGGAGGAAACACAAGAAAGAATTATGAGGAAAATTCTTTGGGGTTTTGTTCTGGCTTTACATTGTCGTTATTCAGAATTATGATTAGAATTCTTTGTTTTTTCTTAATTTAATTTGTCCTTGTTCGTGTCACGTTTAAAAAAAATTTAATTTGTCGTTCTTTTCACATTTTGTATGGTTTGAGTTTTTGGTTTTCGAGGGTTTTTTTTCATGATTAATTTTTTGCAAGATAAACCACTCCGAATCTTAACAACAGATCTTGGACGTTTCCCCGCGAGGAAGGAAAAGAAACGACTATGAATTTTTTCTGGCTTTAATTTGTTTTTATTCTTTTCACATTTTGCATGGTATTTGTTTTTGTTTTGATGTTTTTCGTAATTATTTTAACAATATAAAGTACCATATACTATTAATCTTAAATCAACATGAAAATATAAGTATGTATGTGTATAATATACATATATTACATGCTCACACTCACACACACACACACACACAAACATGTCTATGATTTAACCCCCCTCCACCCCCCCACCCCCCATAC